GCCGCGGGCCGCGGAGCCATGGATTGCACATTCGAAGGTATTTTTTTGGAGGATCCCCTTTATCACAGAGCTTCCATCTCCGCCGCGGGGTCCCCATCCCCTGTGCCCCTGGGAACTCCAAAAAGGAACGGGCCAGTTCCTGAGGGAAGGTGTAACCGCTCCTGGCTCTCAGGGGAGCTGGCGGACCCCTCCCCAGCCTCAGTAGTTACCCCTACCTTAACCTCCAGAGTGACGGGGTGGCTTCCCCACATCCTCTGCTCCGCAGGGAAGAGGGCCAGTTGTCCTCTGTCTCCTGGGGCCCCCTTCTGGAGGCGCATCCTGGGCTTACCAGACAGACAGCGGGAACCCTGGGTTCCGCCAGTTCTTCTTTCGGAGCCTCAGTCTCTCCATGTGTCAGGGGGGCTCATGAAAACTGAGCTGAGGGAGGTCCTGCAAGTGGAAATCCTCTATGCCTGTGCTCCCTGCGTGAACCTGGAGGGCCCGCGAAGGGTTTCTATTCAAGGACCCAGCAGGGCTGAGCCTGGTTCCCCGATCTCATGCTGTTGGGGGCCACAGGAAGGACCCCTCCAGGAACTTTCCTGCCTGGGCACCTGTCAGTGGGAAGGAATCAAGCAATGCTGAGTCCCCTGTCCGTGCCACTGCCTGCCCAGCAGCCCTGCCAAGAAGGGTCTAACCTTTTTTGTTGTACAGATGAGGAAACTGAGGACCAGTGAGAGGGAGCTCCTCATGGCGGGGTGGGCAGAGCCAGAAGCTCAGGCTGGGTCCCGCAGGTTTGCTTACCGGTCCTGCAGGGCACTTTGACCCAGTGAGTGGCTCCCTCAGTGGGTTAGAGGGCCCCAGGCTGACCCAGTCAGGCTGTGAGTCGCCAGCTGGGGGAGAGGGCCTGTGGCCAGCCTGGGGCTGCAGCAGGGAGCTTGTCCCAGTCTGTACGAGGAGCAGAGAGTCAGGACAGACAGCATTTGCTTTTGTAGAGAGGAAACCGAAGCCTGAATGGCCGGTCCCGAGGCCACTTGGCTGCAGACAGGATCTGGGCTTGTGCCCAGAACACACAGGGACACACTGCGTGGCACACATGTGGCCAGCGCCTGGCAGTGCCCCAAGCCTCGGTCTATTCCACAGAGAAATGGGTTGGCGAAGGCAGTTGCCGAGTCGGCAGTGGTGGGTCCGGGCCCCAGCTCTGCCTTAGCCTCAGCAATGGGCAAATTGGTAGGCCTCAGGGGGCCTCCCCTGCCTGGAGCTGACCTTGTCCAGTGCTGCAAGGCTGTCTGAGGCACCAGGCAATGCTCCGGGTGTCACAAGTGCCCAAGCTTGGGCTCATGATGTTGCTCCCACATGTATCCCTGGGTGGTTGGGGCGAGGGTGGGGTGCAGCTGGGCCACCCTCTTGGCCTCTGCTCACCCAGCTTCTCTCTCCACAGACATGCTCCAGCTCATCAACAACCAGGACAGCGACTTCCCAGGCCTGTTCGACCCCCCCTATGCTGGAGGCGGCACAGGGGGCACAGACTCCGCCAGTCCCGACTCCAGCTCCCTGGGCAGCCTGTCCCCACCTCCTTCCACCATGAGCTCCCCTCTTGAAGGCTTCCTGGTGGGGGCCCAGGCCACACCCCCGCCCTTGTCCCCTCCCCAGCCTGCACCCGCCCCACTGAAGATGTACCCATCCGGGCCTGCCTTCTCCCCTGGGCCTGGGGTCAAGGAGGAGCCACTACCACTGAGCATCCTGCAGGCCTCCGCCCCACAGCCCCTGCCCGCGGCCCTCCTGCCCCAGAGCCTTCCAGCCCCAGCCCCACCGCAGTTCAGCTCTGCCCCTGTGCTGGGCTATCCCAGCCCTCCTGGAGGCTTCTCCACAGGTAAGGGGGCATGTGGAGGGAGGGGGGCAGCAGGAGCCAGGGAGAAGGGTCTGTGGTGGTCAGTAGAGGAGCGTGCGGGCCTTAGAACCGGGTCTCTGCCCTGCTGTCTGAGGCGCCCTACTAGGAGTGTGTGCCAGTGCCCGAGTTGCTGGGTGAAGCACTGCCTCCCACTCTCCTGGGGTGGCGGGGGTGGCTTACACACTTGCATCAGAGCCCCAGGCAGGGGCTGTCCAGATGGGAACCGGAGGCCACAGAGGGCAGTGACTCACCCAAGGTCCCATGGTGGTAAGGACCCAAGGGGCGGGTTAAAAGCAGGTTAGGGTGGCCGATGTCCGCAGCCCCAGCCTTTACCTCTGCAGGGACCCCTCCAGGGAATACCTCGCAGCCGCTGCCTGGTCCACCGCTGGCTCCCCTTCCGGCGGTCCCGCCTGTCTCCTTGCATACCCAGGTCCAGAGTGCGGCCCCCCAGCAGAT